AAAGTATTAAATATCGAAAATCATAACCATACAAAGATGGAAATAAATATAATCGTTGGATCAACATAATCAATCTAACGTTGAAATTGATTGGTAGTAATATTGGTAGTAATCCTATTTGGTTGTTACAATATTCTACCCAAAATTAAATTGGGAAAATTTGAACTTTAAGAGAAAAATATTTTTATATTTTTTGCATCATAATTTAAGGGTGGGCACTTGCCCCCCTTCTCTAACACTTCCATCCGCCTCTGGCAGTGACAGTGACATCGTGATGGTAGTGGCAGCGGTGACGACACTAGTGGTACAAGGACGGCGGAGACGATGGTGACAATGGTCGTGTCGGGATGATAATGGTAGTGATGGAAAGTGATTGAGAGAAAAAACATAATTTTTTTAATTCTTTTTTATGTTTCCCTGCACAAAAATTCAACTCGTTCATCGTAAAAACAAAAAAATAAACCGATTTTACCAAACTAATTTTCTATCTATTTTTATTCACGAAAAAAAAAACTGCTTCCGAATAGACTCTTAAAAATATATATTTTTGGGTAAACAAATTATTTTATTATGAAAGTAAGCAATTATACTATATTTATTATTTATTTAATTTAAACCACAGTGTGATCTTAACCGACTAAAATTCAGGAAAAATATAATATAATCTGTTCAGTTTAAAGATAAATGTTATTTAAAAAAAAATCAAATGCTTCATTAAAATAGCATAAATGCCAAGTTTATTATATTATTCTGGTTTTAAATCAATTTCCTGAGATTATTTTTTCTATTTCCGAAACTTGAATCAATAATTATTAATGTTTTTTATTAATTAGCTTTTAGAGATACATAAAAAATCTATCATTTATTTGAATTGTTTCAACCAATTGAATTACAACTGGCACTGCTTATCTTATTCTTGAATCAACACCTCTTAATTTTAACTGGTTCATTTGTTCATGTGATATTATTGAATACCACCTATGTTGCACCGACACCGACACGCGACATGTGATACGATATGACACGACACTCCGATACTTTAATTCTAAAAAATGTTAAATTTTGACACGTTAAGACACATTTTGATATTATATAATATTTTTAATTTATGTAGTATATGTTATATTTAGTATTCAATAATTTAACAAAAAAACAAAGTTAAACTTATAATAATCATCAATTTTGCAAAGAAAAATAAGATATCTCAAATGTTTATATTAAATTCAATAAAATGGTAATTATAATCTAAATAATCTAATAGTTAGAATTCAAAATGCAATGCAACGTAAACTTTAAACCTTTTTTTGAGTTTTTACAACGAGTATTGGAGTGTTGGAATGTTGGAGTGTCGAAAAATATCGAACACGATACATCAGAATTTTTACGGTGTCAGTAATTCGTAACTGCGTATGCCCTCTTTTAAAAGCAGGTCAATCCAAAAAAAACATACTGGTCAATGTGATAGTTGTTACTTTGCTTGTTGGAGGACAACACCATACTGGTCCTAGTTCGAATGCTGGTAGAATCCGAAAAAAAAAACAAAAAAAAACAGATCAATCCCTTTCACATGTTTACTACACTATATACTAACTAGAAGTTGCATTCAATTACATTGCTTACTGGCGACGATATTTTCAACATTAAAATGTTTTTTGCTCATGGTATTTTTCTTACGCCTTGTGTTTTCTATTTTTGAAAAAAAATAAATTATCAAGAACAAAATCGCAAAACAAACTTATTCGATTATCTTTTTTTTATTTAATTATTCTGAAAACTTATTTTCATAAGTTGTTTTTATAATAGAAAAATAAGAGTATATTTGAGTTATTTTTCTTCATTTTATTTTCATGAATATTTTATTCTCACTTTAAATCACCGTTACCGCTATTACCACCACTATTATTATTAAAACATAATCAAGTTTTCAAAATAAAATTTATCAAACAAGTTTTATAATATATTCTGCAAAATAGTTCTTGGAAACAATTATAAAAAAATAGAATTAAACAGACCCATACTTTCTAATACGCTTATTTTATTTTATTTTTCAAACAAAAACATGTAAATAGATAATGTATAAGAATACAATTATTCAGTACAAAAAACCTCCTTTTTATGTTTTTAGTGTATTGTAATATTTTATAGTTATATATATTCGAATCAGGATGGTTATATTAACAAGTTTTTTTTTTTTATAAACTTTCAAATTACATTATATCTTACTGATAAGATATATTATCTTACTAGTAAAACATAATATAGTTTGTAAGAATTTATAAACAAAAAATTAATAAATATAATATTCACCTATTCGAATAGCATAGTTGTTTCTATAAGTCAGCAATTACTCAACGTGCTCCTCTTTCTTTTTTCTTTTCTTGTTTTTATAGTTATATGGAGTGAAAGTACATGCCCGAGTTTTCAGCATAATTTTATAATGGAATCAATTACATCTAATTTTAAGCTTGTAAGTGACGTCTATATTAATAGTTTTAGGGGTTTACTTTCATCATTTAATATGATCACAAAAAATTTTCTACACACACAATACTTTATGAGACCCACATGTTTTGAAGAAAAAAAAACTACGGCACGCGAAACGAATCTCTATAACATAACACAATCATTTTTCCTACAACATAACTCTTATAAAACCCATAGTTTTATAATAGAATTTTTGAATATACCCTTTAAATAATTTTATATTATATTTTTCTAACACATATTTACAAACTCACTTACTAAAATTTGTTACAATTAAGTAGTTAATAAAAGAGTGGAGGAAATGAAGATCACCACTTGGATTAATAATTTACATTAACAATTTTATATTAAATTTCTCTAATAAATTTAAAGAAAAATATCAGTGCAAGAAAAAGAATTTTCATATATTTTTTTGGATTTTATATTCATTATTAATTTTTTATTTTAATGTAAGAGTTTGTTTGAACTTTAATTCTCAATGATTAATAGTAAGTTTAAGAGTTCTCATTGTTATACTAATACTAATGTAAATTAATTATACTAATACCCCAACTCGAAATCCATACACATAAGTAGTAATTAATTTTTCTCTTTGATTTATAAGTTCTTTTACATTTAGTTTATTTCAGTGGAATATAAAGTATATTGGGACAATTCAGAAAATTGTTTAAGTCTGAAATCAGAAAGTCAGAATTTAATGGTAATAAGACGAAGACCATATTGCCCAAGAAAAGAGAAAAAGAAAAAGAAAAAAGAAATCAACGAAGAACAGGCTGAACAACTACTATTCATTTTCACATGGCGCGGAATGAAGAATCAGAAGAAGAAAAAAAGCCATTGAGACAATGTGGTAGGTAGTAGAATAGAAAGAATATTAATGAAAAGAAATGACCAGTTGCGTATCACATGATATTGATATGACTAAACCTAACCATCATAAGTACGTGTGCTTCTCCGTCACTCGTACGTTGGCGTTCCCAATTATTTATCATTTATTTATTTATTGAACTATAATTTCTGTTTCTAGAAGCGAAAAAAATTAAATAAAAAAATTAAAAAACAAACAGGGTTACATCACAAGCATCAAGCATGCATGTTGGATGACCCTTTTGTTTCAAAATTTCCAAGGTATGATGAGGCCTTCATGGCTTCATGTTCATTTTTTTCTTTCTGTTTGCCCTGTTTTTCTTAAGGGCAGAATTGCGTTGGTGCGAGGGAGACACACATGTCATATGTGCATCCATGGAAAAAATTCATTGTTTTGAAAGATTTATAATAAGATAATTATAATATTACCAAATATTACATTATTTGCACCCTCGTAAACATAATTGCTCTAGATTTAAAGTGGTTATGTTTGATTGTTTTTTTTAATGTCTATTAAATTGTATAATCTAATCTTTTTTTTATTGGCGTTCTTGCATAATTAGAATTTGATGATTTTTTTTTTTTAGAAAATAATTTGGTGCAAGTTAGTGACTTCCCATATTAACACCGAACTTAATTACATCTATGTCATCTTCGCATGATATGAACATTTATTATTGAAAATGGAAATTGTTTCAATCTATCTTATAATTTTTTAGTAATTTAAAGTTGAATTCTTAAAATTCAATTAAATAATAAATTCTAATTCCCCTTGCGTCACACGCACGATCCTATATTCAACTATACTGTCAATGTCAAAATTGAGGTAAAATATATAAACAAATATATCATAATGCCGTGATCTTCGGTAATGGAAGGGTTCCTTTCCTTCAAATAATATCATGATGAAAGGGGTGGTGTGGCATCAATTTATAATAATAATTTTTTTTTTACTTGTATTCAATAGTTTAAATAATTTATAATTTATAATTATTTAATATAAATAATTAAGAATATAACTGGCATAAAATAATTATGCCCCAATTTGAAAAATAAATAAATAATCAAAATATTATAATCATAAAAGCAATTTTTTCTAGATGTTAACTTTTTTAATAAGATAGGTCAAAATTAATTAAATATTTATATTACTTTCAATTGACACTGTTAACTAATTAAATATTTTGTGCATTAATTATGCGAATATTTTAAATTGTAAAAAATATGAAAAATTAATTTAAATAAAGAATGAAAATAACATATATAATTTTTAAGAAAAAAATATATTAAAAAATTTATTCACTTTTAAAAGAATGAATTTTATTCCGAGAAAGGTTATATTACAATCTCTTTTGTCTTACAGTCTTATAAAATGGCAACAAATAATAGCTCTTAATTGAATTTTAAATAATTATAAGAGATTTTCAAGAAAAAGAAAATAAAGACAAGAAAGTTATGAGAGTTTCTAAGTATAATTTATTTCATAAATATCTAATTATCCTTTTTATTCAAATACTTATTTTTTACAAATAATTAAAAAAAATCCGAATAAAATTCGAAATTTTAGTTACGTTTTTATACTGTTTTGCATGCGTGCAGGGGTCTTAATTTAGTTCCGCATAGAGATTGAAGGAAAACAAAATCATGATATTCCTATTTCATAAACCTTGCATATACAATCTAAAATTCAACAAGGCTCTGTACATCAGTGATTATAAAGGCTCCCTTTAGAAAAAGAAACAAAAATTACTCGTCTAGTCTACTCTACTCAAATCATAAACTCCTCCTAGATCTACAAGGAGGAAAAAGAGTTTCTCGAACCATCTAAGGGAATTTATATACTGATATACATCTATATATCAACAAAATTGGATCCTTCCAGCAGCAATTGCTTGAATCACTCTTGCATCTTCAAGTTTGATCACCAGTCACGCCTCCACTTATGATCCATGGGTGTCCTGCAAGTAGACACAGCAGAAACATACATTAATATATATATTTTTTTTAAAAAATCCCAAAGTAAAGTAAAAAATGATGTACCAAAATAAAGTCAGATTAAAAACAGAAAACCCCATAACAAAAAGTTTGACATAAAAACTCAGAGACACCCAAAACAAAAAATCTCTTTTACAACAAAGACAGTAATCACTGAATTTTCAAGCTACCAAAACAAAAAGAGAGAGAGATAAGGCCAAACAAAGAACAAAGAAAAAAGAAAAACTTACTCAAGGCTTGTTCTGCAGATATTCTCCTCGAGACATCTCTACAAAGCATCTTCCTGAGAAGATCCTTAGCAGTGGAAGACACAGACCTGAAAACCCTTGTTGGAAACCTGAGATTGGCTCTCACAACAGCCTCAAAAATCTCAGCAGCAGAGTCTCCATAAAAGGGTGGAATCCCACCCAACATTATATACAAAATCACACCGCTGCTCCAAACATCAACTTTCTCATTGTACTCTCTCCCCATCAGAACCTCCGGCGCCACGTAATACGGGGTGCCCACCACCCCGCTCATGCTCCTTCCGTCACCGAACCACTCCGCCGAACCAAAGTCCGCGACTTTAAGGTTGTTCCTCGAATCAAACAATAGATTGTCGGGCTTTATGTCTCTGTGCGCTATCCCAACCCTGTGGCAATGCGCAACAGCTTCGAGAAGCTGCTTCATGAAAAAAGCAGCTTGGGGCTCCGGCAAGGGCCCATCGGCGATTCGGTCAAAAAGAGTGAGGGGTTCGCAGAGGTCGATGACGATGGATAAGAAATCGGTGTCTTCAAAGGCGTCGAAAACTTGAACAATATTAGGGTGCGGAGAGAGGAAAGACATGAATTTGGACTCAATTTCAAGGCAGTGTTGGTCGGTGGAATCGGTGAGGAGACGCTTGTCGATGAGTTTGCAGGCATAGAATTGGTTAGAACTAAGATGAAAGCAGCGAAACACGGTGCCGAACCTGCCACGCCCTATCTCCTCCAAAAGTTGATATTGATTCTTCAGAGCTTCGCACATTATTATTCTCTTTCTGTTTCTGTTTGTGGGGTTTGTGTTTAAGTTTACTACTTTTAAGGTAAGTTTATTTTTATATTTATATATAAAAGAAAAGATGTGTATCATATCAAAGTGATCTAAAGTTGTGTCATCTTAAGTGAGTGAGAGAAAGAGATAGATATAGATATAAGAAGAAAGAGAACAAAAAAATATAAAAATGTGAGTCTCGCTCCTTTACGGGAGTGACAAGATATAAATTATGTCATTTAAAAAGATAAATATTTTTTCCAAATATAAAAAATGTATGACAATGACAATGAGTCTATGACTATGTAGTTTCCGAAGAAAAGAGGGACGAATGAATGGTAATGGGATTTGGGAATGATAATGGGAATATTCGGTTCGTGGGTAGTACGACCATTCGCGATTCACCACGTTTTCAAACCAAACAGAGGACTCGGAGAGGAGGCTCTGTTTCTTTTACCACTTTTTTCAAACATCACAAAATTGACCCTTTCCGTTTACTTTACTTCCATGATTTTGAATTTGATTATGCGAATAATTTTATATCATTATCTTTAGTAAATTATTGAAATCTTCATTTTTTTCATTTTTTATTTTTTTTTTGGTGAGAACTTAAAGGTTAGTTTGAAAAATATTGTTACAGTAATTTTATAGGTTCTAAACGTTTTTATGGATAAAGCGAGTTATATCACTATATGTATTTACAGATAGATCCTTTTACCTTTTAAATTTAAAATACGATTAGAAACTAATAAATGGAATAAATTAGTTAAGATTAAGGATGGCGAATGGATGAGATAAAGTGATTGAGACTTACCAATCAAATAAACTCACTTGTCCATCCTAAAGGCGATATTCCTGTTTTAACTTTTTCACAGTTTTTTGAATATCGCAAAACTGACCTTTTCTTTGAGGATTTGATTTTAATAATGGAAAGAAAGAGAATATTATTTTCAAAATAATATAATTGAAATTTAATGAAAATAAAATATTATAGTCATTTCAATTCAACGATGTGAAGTTTTTTTATGTAGTACGTAAAACTATCTTTTGCATATTAAAATTTTCGTTTTTTTTTTTTGGTAAACAAATTTTCGTTTTTTAAAAATAGTTAAAGAATATTGACACACTTAGTTGATGATGTTTATTAACTTCTTAATCGATAACTTTATTTACGTCACACTTGTTTGATATATAGACTTTCACCATTTTATCCTACTCAATTATCACTTCGAGACTTAATTATGACTAATTCATCGTGATTATCACAATATAAATTAACCATTTCAAATAATGTAAAATTCTTTTGGGGATGAGTGGTTGAGATAAATTTGCCAAAACTTTAATTTAAAGGTGATGACTAAATAAGATTTTTTTTTTGAATTAACCCAACTCTAAGTACCTCATAACTTGTAATACCCTATATTTTCTTTTAATAAAATAATAATAATAATAAATATTTTTTGGATAATAATGATATTTAGTATTTTTGTAATTAATAATATTGGTATTTAATATCTTTAATTAATGAGTTAATAATAGTTAAAATAATAAGAGGTAAGATAATAATAGTAATATTATTTGATTTATGTGATATATATATATATATATATATATATATATATATATATATATATATTAGATGATAAATTATGATTAATTGATTTATTAATTGATTGATGATTTATGTATTTATGTTTGATTAGTAATGATTGATTAGTAAATTGTTTAGATATGATGAGTCAACAAACATAAATTGTTTAGATATGATGAGTCAACAAACATATATTGTTTAGATATGATGAGTCAATAAACATAAATTGTTTAGATATAATGAGTCAACAAACATATATTGTTTAGATATGATGAGTCAACATTGAGTCAGTAATGTATAAGCCCTAAACTTCAACTATAAATAGAGACCTAGCTTAACCAAACCAATTCACTCTCCTCTACTACTCTCTCTCTTCTCACTCCAAAAAGCTTATTTTAATTATTTTCAATCTTTATATTTTTTTATCAACCGGTTCTCTGCCCCAAATTACTCTTTTCTTCTAAAAGTTAGCGAAAACGGAGACCAGGTAATCCTAATCCCTAGGTATTTTTAGATTATATTTATTTTATGTGAAATTTGATATGCGTAATCCTAATCCTTAGAAGTCTTAGGTTAATTTTATATGAATTTTGATAGGATAATTATGATCCTAAACATATATCATAGTTACACTTCGTTGCAAATTTCTTTTGATTTCTGTGCAATTCTTTAATTGAATTCGAATTATACTTATCGTTGCTTTTATACATGATATAGTTCACAAAACAAAAACAAACAAACAAATCTCCTTTCTCGATTTTTGTGCGTCACTTTCAATTGAATTAGATGTATGTTCACCATCTACCATCTGAATCGTTTCTTTCAAGTTACATATATTGCAATTCTGCTTTTCGATTTACGTGATGAACATATTTCAAATACATTAGTTATATGAATTTAGTTTCAATTGTTTTTTTTATATTCTGTGCTTTACTTTATAAATTGAGGCACTAATATATATACATATATATATATGTTTTGGTAAATTGGAAATTAATTGTTTGCTGCAGAAAATAGATATTACATATATTTAAAATAAATTGGGAAATTTTGTTATGTCTATATAAAAAAATAATAATAATAATAATAGTGGGAGGATAGCTTTGGGATGGTACCTCCCAAAGTGATGAACACAATTTTTGGGCTTTATGCCTCCGATGTGAAACTGATGTGAAAAAGATTATATCCGTTCTTCCCAAAGTGGTGTCTGGCAGGGTTTCCCGGGATACTAGTAGCAACTTTGGGAAGAGGTGTGCACACTAGGAAGATGTGAATTGATTATGGCCAAAGTGATTTGTTTGTGACTGGCAGGGTTTCCCGGGTCACAGGGTAGACTGGCAGGGTTCCCCGGGTCTACCATGGTTCTCTTCCCACTAAATAGACTAAATGGATTAAATAAATATTAATATAATTAATAACAAGTTGACATTTGATTCGAATTTTTGAGTTATATTATTTTATTGGATTATCATGAGTTACATCCTTTTTGTTTATTTATTTATTTTTGTATATCGGATTTGGATTACCAGCTTTGCTGACTTTTGTGTTTGTTTAACTGCAATGATCCTTCACGGGGAGCAGATTTTCAGTGAAGCATGTTGCAAAGGATGGGGCTAGCTGTGGACAGTGAGGATCACGACTCGAGTATTTCAAGCTAGTTTCTAAGTTTAGAAATTTATGAGATTTAAATAAATGCATAAGACATATTTCCTTTATTTAAACTTTAGTCTTTGGTTTTATTTTAATGTAATAAATTTAGCCTTGCACCTGTTCATTGTACAGGTGCGGCGGTAACATTCCCCAAATTAGATTTTGATTAGCTTCCGCAATATTTCTATTATTATAATTGTGAAAAAAAAATGAATTTTGACAATTTATTTATTATAAGATTGTTTCATAAATTGTTAGAAATTTGGGGTGTTACAAAATGGTATCAGAGCCCCTGGTTGCGGCTGGGGTTTGCTTTTGATATTGACTCGAGGGATCAAAGATCCCTGAGTTAAATAAAAAAAAAAATTAGGAAATAAAATAATAGGACATAATGTAAATAAATAAATCGAGAGATGGGTAGTGAAGGGTTATTTTTCTTGTCCTTTAAATATGATTTATTTCTATGAAATTTCGATGATTATATGTTTGGAATTATTTTGTGATTTAAAATTATTATTGATAATATTCTTTAACATTTTTTTTATATACGCTATCTTTTGTAACTCGTTCTTATTTTAATAAAAGTAATTAGCTTTCTTTTAGAGTTGTTCTTGAAATAATTAAAGTTTTTCTAGCAAATGAAAGATAATATATGTAATAAAAATTTCTATTTGTTTAAACAAGATATTCAGTTTCGAAACTTTTTTTCTAGCTTTTTTTTGGAGTTACCCAACCCTAATTATCTCTTTTTGAGACGAGTTGGCTCCCTCCGGTATCCCCACGAGCTTCGACTCTTTGAGCCGGCTATGGGACTAATCCGGAGTGCGGGGGAACAGTGATGACTAAAGGTTCAGCCCCCTCCCCAAGAATGCATTCAGCGGGAATCGAACACGTATCCAACCCTACTAACTCAGCGCCAAACTTTTTTTCTAGCTTGGTTAAAGTTAACAAGTCATTAATTTGCAGTGCTTTAAATTTATTGTATTCTATGTTGTCTTGTTTGCCGGGTTATGTATGACTCTTTGATGATTGCTTACATTTTTTTAAAGGGGTTTCAAAAAAAAAAATTAATTAATTAAGTTTCGAGGACAAAACTTCTTTTAAGGAAGGTAGAATGTAATACCCCCATATTTTTATTAACTTTAACCTTATGCCTTTAAGTTAATTTGAGGAGCTCAAACTTCTAAGTTTCGAGGACGAAACTTCTTTTAAGAAGGGTAGAATGTAATACCCTATATTTTCTTTTAATAAAATAATAATAATAATAAATATTTTTTGGATAATAATGATATTTAGTATTTTTGTAATTAATAATATTGGTATTTAATATCTTTAATTAATGAGTTAATAATAGTTAAAATAATAAGAGGTAAGATAATAATAGTAATATTATTTGATTTATGTGATAATATATATATATATATATATATATATATATATATATATATATATTAGATGATAAATTATGATTAATTGATTTATTAATTGATTGATGATTTATGTATTTATGTTTGATTAGTAATGATTGATTAGTAAATTGTTTAGATATGATGAGTCAACAAACATAAATTGTTTAGATATGATGAGTCAACAAACATATATTGTTTAGATATGATGAGTCAATAAACATAAATTGTTTAGATATAATGAGTCAACAAACATATATTGTTTAGATATGATGAGTCAACATTGAGTCAGTAATGTATAAGCCCTAAACTTCAACTATAAATAGAGACCTAGCTTAACCAAACCAATTCACTCTCCTCTACTACTCTCTCTCTTCTCACTCC